GTACGTATTGTCAGTATGCTACACCAGCGCCAGAGTGCTGGAGGTGCTTGGGACGTACGTAGGTACTGCGACCTCCCCCCCCCCCGCTCGACAGCAAAATTTAAAAAAACCAGAAATTTTTTGGGAAAAAATAGACAAAGTGGTAGGAGGTTGGAAAAATCTATGGAAGAGGTAACATGAGGAGGGGGATCGTACTTGAAGATGGAATTAGGGAGGGTGGTCGTATTTTTCAGGAAATGATCACAACGCATTGGCGTGCCCTGGTTGCAACACACCACAGACACCCTCAACTCTTGCCATATATCCAGTTGAGGTCCTGCACATCTCTGCCTACATGTTGACGGTGTCTGGACCGCTCTGAAACCGTTTTGCAGATTGTTTTGTCTGGCTCCGCCCACCTCGGGCAGGATCCATAAACAACATTTATGCCCCTTATTTCTCAATGGGCGACCAACTCAATTTATTCCGGTCTTTGAAGTGCTCTGAAACTATTTTACAGAAGTCTTGTCCGGCTCCGCCCACCTCAGAGCAGGACCCGCCCACAATGTTCGTGCTCCACAATCTTCACCGGCGACCCTCTGCTGACCTTAATCCACTTTTTCCGGTGTCTGGAGTGCTCTAGAACTATTTTACAGAATTTTTGTCCACCTCCGCCCACCTCGAAGCAGCGCCGCCCACAATGTTTGTGCCCCACTCTTCACCGGCGACCCTCTGCCGACCTTAATCCACTTTTTCCGATGTTTAGAGTGTTCCGGAACTATTTTGCAGATCTTTTGTCTGACTCCGCCCGCCTCGGAGCAGGCCCTGCTCACAATGTTTGTGCCCCATAATCTTCAATCGGCCCAGCCCTCGCTGACCTTGATCCTCTTTTTTTCCGATTTCTGGAGTGTTCTGGAACTGAGCTACAAACTTTTAAAATGAGTATCCTGCGATTAAGGGCAAGCTCCGTCCGCTGTGGGCGGGTCTCAACATACTTCGAGCGTGCCCAACAGTCGCCAGATATTTATATTCTGCATTGAGCTGTTTGCGGTATTTAAACACTCTTGCGAACCGAGTTACTGAGTTTTGTGAGAATACCTTGAGTACGCCCCGCCCATTTTGGATGTGTCTCCCATAGTTAGTCTGGCAACTCCTTGCTAACCTCATTCCTCTTTTTGCCCACCTTTTGCTGCTCCGGAAGCGAATTACGAACATTTCTGTGCGGAACCCCCTTTCGGCGAGTGCCCCGCCCAGTGTGGGCGGGGCTTCGCAATCAAGTGTGCTTTTTATTTCTTGTCCCATGCTCTACCCATCCCCACCTTGACCCGACCTCTCCAAGTCATTCTTCAGGTCGAACCGAATTTCCGGACAGACAAACAAACTTACAAACAGACAAACAAACTTACGAACAAGCAAACAGATGAAGCGAATTATATGTGTAATAATAATAATATATAATATATAGGGTGATATCGGAAAAAACCCAATGAGTGCAATGTCGCCTTTCATCCTCGCTCGTTCTAATTCACAGGTTGTCAGGCGGTGTACAGCACCCCCGAGGATTGCGCGTGGGATTAATTGTGTTGTCCGTGGATGCACAACGGGGCCTGGGTAGGTGTGGACCACTCGATCCAGGTGTGGAGTACGACCTGGCCGAGGGGCAGGCGGAATCGCTGCCCGGGTAGCCGCCGCACCCCAGATCTCCTACCCCCCCCCCCTGAGCGCGCACGGAGCGCGCGCTTGGGTTGACGTCAAGGATGAAACGTTCATCAGCCGGTTATGCAAAAGCCGTATAACGAGCTATCAAACGCACCTCAAACTCGGGTAACTAAACCAATTACGGTGCTTCCGATTGTGTGAGTTCACGACGCGACATTTTCAAGTTCACGCGCAATTTTCGGGGATACTGTACACCCCCTAACAACCTGAACATATAACCTTGTATCTGTGATGCTACAGTTAACCATCGTGTAACACGACAAAAAGTTCGCTCGCGGTTTGAACTCCTGAGACCTAACATTAAGTCATGAATGTAGTTTTCGTATGTCCTGGCACGTGGCTTAATTGAGAGAAGTCACCCAGCGGAAGGGTGTCTGTGACATAGAGAAGATCACAGTCAGGTCGGGCTGGATAAAAAATCTGCGGCGGCCCCGAATGAAATAACCTATTCCATTATACCCATTACTCTAATAAAAATATAAGGAGAACAGCTGCAAGGTCAGTCACGTGGGGAACCCTCATATTTATTCATTTATTCCGTAATACCATTATCAAAACAGGAAAGTCAGGACCAACCTAGAAAATATTCCACAAGTCTTGGCTTACAACGGCCAAGATTCCATCCTGGGGTCTAACTCACAATATTGTCCACGTTAAGCTGGTCTTCATCTCCAGTGTGACGACTATTCAGCCGACGTTCATGTGTGAATGGGTTACATATAACGGAGAGCTGAGAGGCGGCAAAGAAAACCCCTTTTATCGGACAATCAAGCCAAGTCCACGGCCATTCGTTGACAGCAGCACTCCTCTTTCGTGACTGCATGGAAGTTCGCTCCAGGCGCGCCGCAGCCCATTCCACGCCACCTTTTTATCCTTGCATGGACGGATTCGTCGATTCCTCACGCTTACCCGGCATGGCCTCCTCGAATGGATTGAAATTCTCCTGTTCCAAGGGAGAAGTCATCCCATCGCAAGATGCGCACGCCATTCTCGGCTGTACGGCAATTAGCTGTCAATTATACCCAATGGTGCAGGTGGACTCACAATATGTTATATACCAATATGCACCGCACCAGCAGTACGAGCAGCCATACAGAGCAGCAGCCCAATCCTTAGTGAAACAGCGAAGGAGGACGAGAATTGCAGCTTTCAGCAAAGATCGAAGCAAGCATCAATTCAGAGGGAAATTGCTTCTTAGCAATAGATTTTACCTGGAACCGTCGCAAGGATGATCATTCCCAAGAAAAAGCTTTGCCATTTAGTGCAAAGGTGCTGTGTAATCCTAAGCACTGAACAAAGCCCTCAGACATCGGCTGCGCATGAACTACATACTCCATGAATGAATCTCCACGGAGAATCTGCGAGGAAGATGAGATGAGATTTCTTGAAATGAAGCCAGTACACTAGATAAATCTTGCTGAAAGGTCAACATTTGTTTGATTATCTGCCACAGTTATTACAGTGTCGTAGTTCCATGATTACTTCCTATTTATACTTTCAGACGCCCCATGAGTGGAAGGCCGTTCAGCTTCAAGCAATAAAACAGCCAAATAGCAAATGCGACCCTTCTCCGATATTCGGAATCTTTGACAAGCTCAGTAGATGTTGATAGTGCGTGGCAGCGGCTCGCCTATCTTCCTGTTTTTTTCGGAATGAAGAGAAGCTGTGACGACGACGGGTAGATGTCGTCATCTTCTTCGTCCATTACTGATGGAATACTTTTCAAAGGAATTAGCAAAAGACCGAGCTATAAATCTGCCCAAGTGCTCCCTACAATCCATCCACCTGGCTTCACGTGATGTCCGCACACGTCACTGGAGACGAAAGCATGCACTGAACAAAATCAAGCACCATGTATTTTCTACGCTACGGAACAGGGAAGCAGTGGTGCGTAGTAGTATAACGATTCATGAACGGAACAGCTTCATTCCCATGGGTCAACACTCGCGAGGATAGAGAACGGTATGAGGACTTACAGCAGTGGGCTCTCATCTAGTGAACACAGATAGGAAAACCATCACTATTATTCATACCAAACACTAAATCGAGGCACCTAGAGGACTGTCACATCACGTCTGAACTGTTTCAAGCATTGACAAATGCTACTACAACAATGAATGTGGTGCTGAAAAGAGCAAAGATGGTAGAAAGTGATTTATGGGAGAGGAATATAAATGGCCGAGCTGCTCAGCCTATTCATTCATTCGAGAATATTAAAATGTGGTTCGAAAAAAAATTCCAAGAAGCCTACAGGACAAGCACGAAATGTCGTAACAACATAAAGTCATACTTCTCTTCCTTCTGCAAACATTCCTCTTTGGAAACTCAGTAAGCTCCAGCCAGGATTAAGACGAATGGATGTCTTATCATAAGCCTGCTATAACATAACAAATATAACCAGCAATAACAATCCCATTCCGAGCTACTGTATTAGTTGTAGCGTCAGAAAAGGCTGTTTCTAATGAAACACTATGAGATCTCAAAAACACTGCGAGTGCGGTTGAATTTGTCTAAATACACTTCCTTGGAGTCTTGATTGCGGAAACCATCGCCGAGCAGAAACTTCAAGTCAGCATTCAGCGGGCAAACAAGCGTCCCATCATGTTAGCCATCCCACTTTGAAGGCTACAAAATTACTCCAATCCCACTTTGAAAACTACAAAATTACTCCAAGATCTAGCATTGCAGTTACCTCTGAGAGGAAGTATAGCCTTCTCACCTGTAAATAAACTGGTTCTGGTCACTAAGATCGAATCATATTTGCCTGGAGCGCTCGATGCTCCAGGAAAGGTCTTTTCAGATCACAGCAGGAGAAAAACACCTCCAGCTCATCTGCTGAAGTCTAATAGCGCGCAAAAAGGCCTGCCGACTAGGCAGAAGCTCTGCGGAGGGAGAATCGATAAAAACCACTCGAAAAACCTCTTGCAAGGACCAAATAGGTAATGAAGATCACATCCCGTATCGCTTCCTTTCATCGTAAAACAAAATTTACCCTCCCTGATCATCCTTATCATCCTTCTCGAGAAGAACTCACTTTGGCCTAGTCCTCAACATCGAACTATTCTGAAATACAGGGTGAAGTGCAGTGGAAAGAAGGTACTTTAAGAATTAATTTGCAAACCGTAAAGCAAAACAGGCACCCCATATCAAGCGATGACTTAATCACTCAAATCATCAATTATAAATAAGAACATTAAGAGAAACCAGAAATCAGAAAGCAGACACAGAGAATAGTTGTGCATTCAGCCACGCTTAGCTTTTTATTTCTGAAAAGTCCACGGAGCGGTTGCTTTAGAGTAATATTATAACCAAATGAGAGGCGTAGAAAGTCGTCTTCTCTCATGAATCTTTTGCTGCTGGTTAAGGGCGCAGCACGTCGATACGAGAAAGTGGCCTCGCAGGGTTTTGGAACAAAATTTATGGACGCGAGGATTGATTGGAGCCAGACCGATATAGTAAAACTCACTGTTGCTCGACATGGAAACCTTCTTGAGCAGATCCGAATACTTTTTGCGGCTCGCGTTCCTAGTCGAGAACATGTCCACATGCCAGATGATCTCCTTCTGGATGCGATTACGGATCGCGTTGAGAGAAAAATAACACTCAGACCGCGGCAAACCCTTGCCACCTTCGATGCCAGCCTCATCATTGAAAATAAAGTAGAAATGATGCCAGCTGAGCGACCGTGCTATCTCGTACATTAGATTTCCAAGCGTTCTGTAGGTACCCATCATTCGAGTGAGTAATGGGAACTCCTTCCGATCGCCGAGTTCGTCAACCAGACCCGATGTAGTGAACACTGGCACGCCACCAAACCAGAAAGCACTCATCCGTGCCACAGGTGCCAATGCGTACACGTATGCCATGCCCATCACCGCATCCACCGACCGATTACAGTAGTGTTCTACCATTCGTTGTGGTGCAATGGCGTCGCTTAACTGTGTGTCCTCGTAAACGACACGCAACGATCCGAATGGCATCAGCTGGTATTTCTCGTAGACATCTTCAACAGCCACGTCAAATACCGGTTGGCTTTTAGAAAGCGTCAACTTGAACGGGTTTTTGAAGACATGGCCCTCATCTTTCGGAAGACCGACAACAATATTGATCGGTAGGCGAGGTGAGTATTGGGCCGCGACTGGTCGCCAAATCAATACAGCCAGAAGGAGATCATAGATCATCACGATTATATAGGGATTCATGGGTCATGACCCATAAGTGGTTACTGGAGACGATCGGGGAGAAAGCATGAGACAATCAGCAGTTGAGTATGCGCAGGCAAGGCCGTCGTCGTCACTGCCACAGCGGGCCAGCCTAGCCGTCGTTCCCGCTGGCCCCGCCCCACTCTCGCTGAATAGCAGCACCTCCCGGTCAGCAATACTCCTCTTCCTCGTATACTTATTGCAGTGGTTGCTTCGCCGTCGCTGACACTTGCTTTCGACGGAAAATGAATATGGCTAGGATCCCTTGAGACTTGGAAAATCCAGCAAAAGACACCGCCCGTATCGAAGACGCTTCTGCCACCATCTCCTCGGAGACACTGCAAGAAGAATTAGATTGAGAAGAAGCCAGTACTACAGGGTGAGCATATGCTGTAAGGTTAAAGACAGCTCGCACGATAAAAGTGTCATTTATAGCTGTTTTTCAATTATGAAACAGTGGCTGATAAGTAATGCCCCAAAGAAGAAAAAAAGCAGGAAGAGTGCTCTAGAACACTATAAACAAAACCACTCCCTGACAGTCACCCTTTCCTGCGGTCTCTGTGCAGCCCCTGGCATACAAATTCCTTTATCACATCTCCCAGTAGTGGGTATCATCCAATGTAATGAAAAGAATACGAAAAATAACAAAAACACGGAAGAAAAACTTGAAAGAAAAGAAACCTTCAAAAACTAGAATTCTGAATTCAGAGTTGCGGTAGCGTCCATCTTTTAGTGTAGTGTAGTGCGTGAGCGGTCGCTCGTGATTTTTACGTGTTTTACCTTGCAGGGTAGGAGTTGACTGTATGTGCTCCTAATAAATAAAATGTAATAAAGGAGAGCAGAGTCATTCATGGGCAGGAGCGCGGTCAGCAAAAAGGACATGCAGTTCGATTACCGCCCCAACAAAGAACGTGAGCGCCCCTCTGTCAGAGGGCATCTAACAAGTGGGCGGTCCAACTGAGCAGGCGTTAGAACTAGAACTTTCAGCAGGTGGCTCGCCTCGCTCGCTGTGGAGTGGCGAGAGTGGGATAGTCTTTAGCTTGGGGGCGGGGGGGGCTATACCACTTGCATAAGGAAGGACGACCATGTACTGCTGATCGCGGGGGCTGTCTTTAACATTCGCCTGATTATTCATCAAAGATGTAGCAGTGTCGCGGTCTGATTCATGATTTTCTACTGATACCTTGAGAGGGCCCCATGAATGAAAGGCTGTTAAACTTCAAGCAGTGAAACAGCTTACGCGCTCATTCTCAGATATTTAGAATCTTTGACAAGCGCAGGCGATGAAGATGGAAACTATGTGTGATGAGAAGTTGATCCAACGGAATGGAGGTTATAACTAAAACACAACTATATGAACCGAGTTCCAATACAGAGATAATCCCCATAGAAACAACACAGTGATCATTATCGCACAATAAAAGCTTGTTTTACATGTCCATGTCTGCTTTGGAATACTCTAGGAGAAGATGATCTGTTGGAATATGCTTTCTCAGATTCTAAGCGAAAACAGTGAACACAGAATGAAATGACCCAGACTGGCAAGATAAAACAGCGCTGGTTTTTTGAAAGGCTATAAAGAACGCTGTGGTCACTGTGGCTCCCTCTCGTCATTCGGTGAAATGGTGAATGCCGCAGTATTTGGAACTATTTTGTTCTTGAGACAGTGTAGGAGTTGTTCCTTTTGTGTTTTAACACTACTCGCAGGAAAGGAGTCCGGAGAAACTTGAGGACACAGAGAAGCTGCAAGCTGAGAAGTGGGGAATGGGCGGTGACATGTAGTACGGTGACTGTCCACAACGACATGATGGATTAATAAAAAACAAAACATTGTACTCCCTCGGACCTTTCTGAACCGCAAGAGCACATCTGCTTGCACCAGTAAGCCTCATCTACAGAGCACACCTTATTGCCTTTACATGGGAGTCGAATGCATGGCGCAAGACAGAGATCAAGCTAATCACCCGAATGAACTACCTTGTAATGGTTTTGACGACAAGGTGTGTTCTAGAAGCACACTAAAAAATGAAATGGAATGATGTTAAGCCGGATGAGTGGGTTTTTCGTGTCACTCAAAATTGTTCCAACAAAAAGAACGGGGAATCTTTTAGCTAATGAGCACAGAAAAGAAATGAAGGTATTCTTTTGAAAAGAAAGAGGCTCCTAGGGTCCTGCACTATTTTTCTTTTATAAGATAACATATGAAGAACGTTATCGCTGTTCAAAGCATGAAAACTCAGTAAACAAAAAAAAGGTAAACACTGAAAAATTTCAACAACTACTTCATAACGAGTATAGTTCCTTAGAAGAAGATCTTTGGAATGGTTTGAGCACAGCTAATCAGTATCGAACCTAGAGCTCCCCAGCACTGCTTCGATCGCTTTACAGTCCCTCGCTCAAAGAATTTATGGGCATCAAAAAAGGACTTCTGAAAAGATATTGCGAAATAGCGTGCTCTAGGTCAGTGGCAGGAAGCGTGCTCCAGCACAACACTTTCGTTCGAAATTCAAGAATGTAGTTCGACTTTACTTAGAATGTAGCTCGATTTTCACTTTAAGAAGGAGGAAGGCATCGTACGGAGACCATCGTTTTGGTGGGGGGGGGGAGGTCGCATTAAGCATACTACATATCTTGCCCCACACCGCGTGACGTTGCATCGAGCGCCTTACGAATGATTCCATCATCAAGTGATTACAGTAATCTCACAAAAAAGTCAGGTAATAGAGCATACCTGCTCAAACGTATTAATTTCATTTAGTATGCGAGTTACTACGTAGGGATATTGAAAGTGAAAACAGATCCCAATTACCAACAAGTGAAGCAACTCTTATAGAAACTCCTTTTCTGCAAAAAACAATAATAGTGACGGATGCGGAAGCGTCACAATGAATAGTGACGGTTACGAAAGTTTGGGTGAGCGTTCAGGTGAAATACTTAGTGAAGAGGATAGAAGTCGAGGTATCTAACGATCTATTTTGTTTACTAGAGATTCGCCCTATTAATGTAATATTCATTGTTCCACAATAGACAATTCCGGACTCATCTAAAAAATTTCCACAGCACTGTTTGCAGTTCTTCGGAGGCTATTTTATTTTCTACCAGAAGTACACACAACACCATCGTTGTGGGAAACCCATCAGGGAAGGGTCGTACTTGGTCGCTGAGAAGGGGCAGCTCGTAAACGCAGGGTCTGTGAGCACTAAACAGAACAAAGGTGTCATCGCTAATTTGATGGAGCGGGAAGCGCATGCCGCTGCAGAATAAATAATATAATAATAATAATAATAATAATAATAATAAATAATAACTAATAAAGGACGATTACCGTGTATGCCTTTCTAAACCCTACACAAACATCTACTTGTATCGACAAAAATCACCTGAAATCAGAAGTTACACCTTTCCACTACATCTGCGTGGGAGCGTAGTGCACGGCGCACATTGAGACGAAATCGATCAAGATAACCAAGCTTTACTTTCCTTTCAGAGAGTATCTGTTTTGAAGGCGAAAAGTTCCGGAAGTACTCTTACAATGACACAGAAGGACCAAATTTTTGAGCAGCACAGAGATTCGCCCATCAATCACCCATCCAGAATGTCTTGTAGTTTAGGGGGTACTTGAGAAAACTGCAGCGCTTTTTGAAAGAGAAAATATTGTGCATTGTTTACTGCTTTTAGTTTTGCAAATGGTTGCGTATGAAGGAAGTTGTTGTCGTCCGAAGCACAAAAACTCGCGTGAGAAACCATCTAAAATATTTTTCAATCGAGGAAAGATTTAGGTAACGAGCAATAAGAAAAAAAAACACTCGAGAGATTGCGTCAACGCAATGCCATCCGTTTCTCAAAAGCCCCACACCTAGAGTGGTGCTCTCAGCGGACGTCGGGCGGTCCTACGACCAGGGTACAGCATCGTTGTGTGAAACCCATAGGGGATCGTACTTGGCCGCTGGGGAGAGGGTAGTAAACGCAGGGTCGGTGAGAAGCAAACAGTACAAAAGTGACAACGCTAAGTCTGATGGAGTAGACGGGAAGCTGCAGAGGACCCAAATGTAAGGAAGACTGCAAAATATGGAGTAATTGGTTTGCAATAACAAACTTAACTCGAAAGTACGTAGGTGACTAATAATACATCTGAAGATTCGCGTGTTCGATCTTTACAAACCCTAAACGAACATATTCTTGCTTGGGTAAAAATCACCTAAACTTAGAAGCTACACCTTTCCACCATCTCTGCCAAGGCACATCACTGGTTGGGGATTTTATTCCAGTTCGTACGCCCCCCTCTCCTAAGATGCGGATCGATGCGATCCCCTCCCCCCTTCTAAGGTTCGTCGTTTTTTTGCCCTTTTATTTGCGTTTTCTTCCAACACCTAGTGGAAGAAAACAAGTGTCAAGCTAAGAACTACCCTGACTTCAGAGTACCTTCCAGCACTGGACATCACTCAGCCGAAAAATTTGACTCCAAACATTCCGTAGGTTCACAAGACAGGATTCCATCAATTTTGCTCTCTCTATTTACAGAAATTTAGTTAGAACTACTGTGTTCTTATACGTGTGTTACTTCAATTAAGAAGGAAAACCAATGGCCCGACTTTGAACAAGTAGAAAATTCAAAAATTATAACGATTTTTCACTATTTTCTTTCACTGCGTGTTAAGTGAGCGAGTAAGGTATCCTCACCCTCTTCAAAAACTGGTAAAGAGAATCGGTCTGGACCCTGTCACGAGGGTGCAAATGAAAAGAAGCGGAAAATGGACGACGAACATGACAATAAAGAGAACTAGGCACTATGAAACTATTCCTACGCCAGAAAGTCAAAAAGATTTATGCTGAAACTTTGTCTATAGACCAGACGGCTCGCCGGCTAACGCCGGCGCGCCTCCTTCATACGGCCCAGCTTCGCCGGGCGGGCGCGACTTCGCCGCGATTACCTTCTTCTGCACGGATACTCAACAGTTATCTGGCTTTTATCTCACCTG